GTAGCTATATTTTTTTTAAATTTTTTTATTTTATGGCTTTTTGGAAAGCCAGGTATGAGCCGGTCGTGGCGGGGTGACTGGAACCTCATGGGAAGAGGGTATTCACGGTTCGTCCTTCACGCCCTACCGAGGTCACGAGTTGCCCCCCACGAGCGGCTCTCCAGCACGGATATGGCTCCAGAAGCACAAGGACTTAATGCAGAGCCCAGCAGCTTGCGGCAGAAAAGTGAATGGACTATGCGTTAATCCACGCCACCATGCCTGCCCGGAAGGGAAAGGGTGTTGCTCCCTTCCACCTTTTTCCTTCTGGAAAGCAAGGTGGCGGCCGCCTTGGAGATTTTTGGAAAACCAGGTATGAGCCGGTCGTGGCGGGGCAACTGAAACCTCATGGGAAATGGGAGGTACCCGGCTCATCCTTCATGCCCTACTGAGGTCACAAGTTGCCCCCCACGAGCAGCTCTTCAGAACGGCCATGGCTCTAGAGCCACAGAGACCAATCTTATAATTATCTGACTCTCGGCAGAAATACTCCCAGGCTTAATAAGTAAAATATCAGAAATTCAAAATATCAGGAATATAAGAAATCCAAAATCGCACAGCCGCTATTGCGGCCGCACGACATCATTTGCTTCTTGTAACCAGCTGTAGAAAACAAATTATTTCATAATGCCTTTCAGCAGGTCTGATTTTGGGGTGTAAACTCTAAATAATAGTGGTGCATCTTTTGTCGAAACAATGAATCTAATCAAAGTAGATAGAGTGTTAACTAGAATTCATCTGCCTCACAGGCATTGGGAGGGTTGGGAGGGGGGTATATTGTGGTTCTTGGTGGTGAAAAATAAGTACTGGTGAAGGGAAATGTGTTTGATGATTGCATGACCGAGACTTAAACCTGAAAGCTTTGTAACTTTTCCCACAGTGATTCAGTAAATAAATAAATTTTAAAAAATTTTATTTTATAATGTAGTTCACAATATTTGATTACATTTAATATTCGAACACCAAATCCATAACCATTACACCTTCCACCACCATATTTGGGATGTTTCCATCCGAAGTCCCAATCCCTGTCCCAAAGTACAACCAAAATAATATATTTTGTATTGCTGAAAATGCTGCAAAAAAGTATCTGTAGAGGAAACAGTGTGAAGATTGTTCTATTTTGGCAGGGGCAATTAAGACCTTCTTTAGGATATCACTAACATGTTGTTAAAGGTTGAGTGATGTGAGCTTTTGTATATCTGAAAAAAAAAATATATATATATATTTCCCTCTATGATTGGTTACCTACTATTTAAACGCCATCAGATGTGGTGTGGTACTCTTGGAGAATGGCTAGGGTGTGTCTTATGATGTGTCATGCGGGTGTATTTGTGACTACTCGGTCCAGAAATAGGTTCACTTGTGTGTGAGGCTCGGGACAAACATGTGGGGAGTGGCCTTGAGTATGGCAGTGGTTGGGTTGTGGAGGTTTTTGGCTGCCAGGGCTGGGTCCCTTGGGGTGGGGAGAGCTCTCACCCGCCCCCCTCTGGGGCACCCCAAGTGAAACACATGCAGTTACTTTTTAAAATTTTTTTATTTTCTCATAGTCACCATGATTCATAATTTTACAATACTGTAAATAATAATAGGGTTTCATTTCTATGGCATTCCAACACCACCACCCCCCTCAGAGTATCTTTCCCTCTACCATTACCTCAGGCTCTCCTCTCTTCCCCTTCACTACCATAAATAGTGCTTGGGGATCTTTGGAGTAGATACTCATAAGTGGAATTGCTTAGTCATATGGAAGCTCAATTCTTGTTTTTTGAAAGTCTCCATATTGGTTTCCAAAGAGGTTGATCCAGTTGACATTTCCCTCAACAGTAGACGAGGATCCCTTTGTCCACACATCCGAGTCAGAACAGGTTGTTTTTGCTCTTTTGGATGTGTGCCACTTTCATCGATGTGATGTGATATCCAATTGCTGTTTTAATTTGCATTTCCCTGATCAGTGATGCAGAGCATTTTTTATATGTTTGTTGGCTATTTGTGTGTTCTCTGAGGAAGTTTATGTTCATTTCTTCTCCCTATTTGTAATGGGGTTGATTTTGTTGTTGTTGTTGTTGTTGTTGTTAAATTTTATAAGTGCTTTATATATATATGTATGTGTATATATATATATTGTCTGTTAACCCTTTGTAAGATGAGTGATGGCAAATATTTTTTTCCCAGTTTATGGGGTGTCTTTTTATTCTGATCATCAGTTCTTTTGCAGTATAGAAACTTCTTAATTTGATATACTCCCATTTGTTTATCTTTACTTCTGTTTGCTTCGCCAGTGACGTTGAATTATGAAAATTCCTCTAAATTCAGTATCATGAAGGATTTTACCTATATTTCCTTCCATATAATTTATGGATTCAGATCAGATATTGAAGTCCATTTTAAATGGACTTTTGTACGTATTGTGAAATAGGGGTCCGAATTCATTTTTCTTTTGTTCTTCTTTTTTTTTTTAACACGTGATTGACCAGTTTTCCCAGCACCATTTATCAAATGGGATTTTCTTGCTCCATTTCATATTCTTAGCTTCTTGGTCAAAGGTTAACTTATCATATATGCTGAGGATCTGACCCTGGGCTCTCAATTTTCTTTTACTAGTCTGAGAGTACATCTTTAATTTAGTACCACACTGTCTTGATTATTATAACTTTATAATAAAATTTAAAATTAGAAAAAAGAACTCCACCTATCTTTATCTTTTTTTTTCTTTAGAATTGCTTTGGCTATCTGTTATTTGGTAAGGGGCAGAGGCCACGGGGGACGATGGAAACTATTTATTGTGTATAAATTTCAACAGCATTTGCTGTTTTTTTAAAACTCCTCAATATTTTATAGGGACTGCATTGAATCTGTATAGTGCTTTGGGTAGATTTCTCATTTTGACTGTTAATCCTTCCAATCCATGGACAGAGGACGTGTTTCCATTTTCTTGTGTCTTCTTTATTTTTGTAGTGTATCATAGTTTTATTTATATAAGTTGTTCACCCCTTTTGTTATGTTGATTCCCAGATTCTTTAGTTTTTTATTGATGAACATTTACTTTTTTTATTTTTTCCTAGATTTTTGGGTTACACCTCACAGTGCTCAGTGGTTACTCCTGGCTCTGCACCCAGGAATTACTCCTAACTGTGCTCAGAGACCACATGGGATGCTGGGGATCAAACCTGGGTTGGCTGCATTCAAGGAAAATACCCTACCCACTGTACTATTTTTCCAGCCTAGTGATTAGCGATGGCAAAGGGGGTAGGGTATTTGCCTTGCACGTGGTCAACCCAGGTTCTATTCCTCCATCCCTCTCAGAGAGCCTGGCAAGCTTCCGAGAGTATCCCGCCCGCATGGCAGAGCCTGGCAAGCTCCCCATAGCATATTTGATATACCAAAAACTGTAACAAGTCTCACAATAGAGACATTACTGGTGTCCACTCGAGCAAATCAATGAACAATGGGAGGACAGTCCTACAATGCTACAGCAACTACTTTTATAGTTAAACATCACCTAATTTGAATTTATAAGAATTTATAATAAGAAGCAATCAGAGATGTACCTGTTTTAAAATTTTTAATGATTTATTTTTAGCAATAGAACAAAAATATTGTTTTATATGTGCAGTGCTACTACAAACATATCTATTAAACTTACATATTTAGATGTGTGTGTGCTAATCTAAATATGTATACTTCTTAAGAAAATTAAAATAATCACATTAGAAGGGGGATTACTTAAAGTAGAAGAAGAAAATTTTAAGTATTTTAAATACTTATTTAACTCTAAATCCTTATGATTTTCAGCTACAAGTATTTTTATCTAGTCATTAAAATGTATTCTCAGTTTATATTTCTATGTTGTAACACCTCTTTTTTTTTCTTTTGGTTAACATTAATTAAAGCAGACATACAACTTTTAATGAAAATGTTTGCTAAAACTGCCGTTCCAAAGCTTGTATTGTTTTAGAGTTCCCAAATCCAATAGAATTTTAGATAACCTACCAAAGTACTTTTACTATCAATATCCCTAAAATGGGCTGGAGCGATAGCCAAAAACAGTAACAAGTCTCGAAATGGAGACGTTGCTGGTGCCCACTAAAGCAAACCCCTAATATAACAGCTTTTCCTTATTGTTGTTCAATAACCTGTTAAGACAATTTGATGAATGGGGAAACCTTTGAGAACTTCCTGACGCTAAACAGGGCTGTATAAAGTTAAGGAGAAAGTTAGCAGAACTCGCACCAGACGTACTGGAAATACTTGTTCATACAATCCAACTAAATCAATCAGTACATACAAAAACTGAAATTTAAATACATGTAAATGTTTTTCTCTCGAATTATCAGAACCAATCTACAAAACTACTCAATGAGAGAAAACTCACATTTCTAAATATCTTATGATACAGATTATTAGTTGGAGATTATCAGATTATCAGATGGAGAGAAGGAATAACATAAAATGGTGGAGAAGCAAAATATTAAAATCTAATATTTTTCAACACTTACCAACTATTTGCAACAACATCAATAAACAACAAAGGAGATAATATGTAAAATGAGAAATGTAATTGGATATTCAAATGGAATATTTTTATACACTTTTTACTGTACTCAATGTTTCCTAATTTATAACTACAATACCTTTCATTTGATAATTATTGGTAACTACTCCGTGTATAGGCTATGCTCGTATGGGTGAATCTAAAGAAGATTCTATGCCACATCACCACATACAAATATTTATTATCAAGGAGTTTAGATAAAAAGGAAAGTGAAGGCCTATGAAAGTAATAATACTATGTTAGAGAACCTGAGAGAAAAGGGGTGGGGTGAGGGCACCAAATGAAGGGTAAGCTGTGAGAAAAGATGTTTGCAGAGAAAAGAGGATCAGGAAATTGAGTCTGCAAATGTGTTCAGGTATTATTTTTACACAGTACCTGTTTACTTGCTTTTTTGTCTATTAGTTTTTCTTCTAACCACTTTAGGACCCTAACAACCTTAGTGCCTTTAAGGCTCATAACATAGCCTTACTAGTTCCAGCTGTTTCTAGATTTTTACCAACACTTTCAAGTAAGCAGATTTAGTTACTGGCTTCTTATATGCTGTTTGAAAAGCTATGGACTTGGGGCTGGAGCGATAGCACAGCGGGTAGGGCGTTTGCCTTGCACGCAGCCAACATGGCCAACACAGGTTCGATTCCCAGCATCCCATATGGTCCCCCGAGCACCGCGAGGAGCAATTCCTGAGTGCATGAGCCAGGAGTAACACCTGAGCATCGCCGGGTGTGACCCAAAAAGCAAAAAAGAAAAGCTATGGACTCTGATATTTATTAATAGTTATCTAAAAGTGTTTAAAAAGTAAGATAGGGAAAACAATAAGATTATGTAATTTTAAAATCCTGTTTGTCTTTCATTATCACAACAGATTTACTTACAGTTTAACTCTTTTCTTTTGGGCACATACAGAACTGGGGAGTTCTCTGGTGTCTTGTCTTAAAAGGACAATACTCCTATGAGGTCAGAGCCCCACAATTGTGGCATTATTTAAACGTGATTGCTTTTATAGATACCCAAGTCATCAAATGCAGCCAACCTAGGAAGTTAGGAAGCATATAAACTTTGTGGGGACACAAATTCTCAATCCATAACAATAGCAAACTGTACACAGGAAGTAGGCAAATTGAGAGTTAATACACTATTAAATTTGAAAGAGAGTTCTGAGGGGTATATTTTATGCTCTGCACAGAAGTTGAACCTTAGTGCTTTGTTTCTTTTTTAATTATTGCAATGACATAATGGATGACCATAGTTAGGAATTTATATTACTGTCTTTTCCTGTAGTTGACTCTACCACAAAGCTCTTTGATCCACTTTGGTGTTAGTCTTCAATTTCTAACATCACACAATTTAATAAATGATTTCTAAGAGCTCTATCCACTCAAAAATTCTTTGAATCTGAGAGTTCCACTTCCAGTAGGATGCAATAAGTTCCTGACAGAACCCAGTTATGAACCCTGGACTAAATAGAAAAATCCAATGGCCTTAAGACTTTTGAGTACATAACATCAGAAAGATTCTAGAGATTAGTCAGAACTTGAAAGAATGAAACAGTATGGAGGAGTATGTTATTCAACTGTTAGTTTAAAATGAGACTCGGGTCTAGTACTAGGGTGAAGTAAGGAGGAGACCATTGATAGCTGACTCTTAAGGAGACACACTTGTGTACTGACTAAGCACTTGCTTGAACCTGAAATCAGTACTGGCTTAATTTTGCACCGTGGACATCTCACTTGTTTCATTCTATTCTAAATACCTGTAGTAAAATTTTGATAACTTTATGAGTCTTTATGTATGTAAAACTAGAAGATAAAATTTGTGATAAAAACTGCTATTGGAGAATAAAGGAGAGAAGTTCAAAGAGGAGACAGGTATGTAGAGAGACTCACAGATTCTATGTATCAACTTGGTGCAAATCTTCTCTGATCACAAATTATACAAGCATGGGGAATAATGCAATAACCAAGCCAAGTGGCAGCACAGAGGGAGAAAACTGAAATAAAGCTTGATCCACTGCCCAAGAGGTAGACTTGTTAGTTTTTGAATCCAATGAAGTATATTTCATGCTAAAACAAAAATAACATTTTAAGAGTAATATAACACATCATAAGACACTTAATACCTATCTTCCAAGATTACCGCACCATAGTTGATGGGGTTCAAATATGGTTTGAACCATGGGAACACCTGCAAGGGCGATTAGAGGCCATCCTAAAAGCCCTAAAAGCCTCTATCCCTCTTGAAAGCTTGGCAAGCTACCGAGAATATCCCACCCACACAGCAAGCTATTCGTGGCATATTCGATATGCCAAAACTAATAAATACAATGGGTCTCATTCCCCTTACCCTGAAAGAGCCCCCAATACGGCAGCATTAAGAAGGAAGAGGAAGGAGAGGCTGATAAAATCTCAAGGTTAAACTAAGCTGCCAAAACGAAGAAAGACAAAAATGACTGTCTATAGTTTCAGTGCACGTACCCTGGCATCAGATGCATCCATTGAGGACCTGATGGTACAAGCACGAAAGATCAAGTACAACATCATTGGTCTGACCGAGACGAGAAGGCATCAATCACATGACGCCGTTTTCAACACTGGAGAAGAACTAACTGTTCCTCGAAACATGCAAAAAAAGAGGCGTCGGTGGTGTCGGTGTCCTTGTCAATATGAACTTGGCTGTGAGTATTGATCCATTCGAATGCCTAAGAACCTGAATCAGACAATTACACTTGAATAGATATGACTCACTGCTGGCAGTTTCTATCTTTGTTGTCTATGCACCAACATCCAATTATGATGAAGGAGAAATTGAAAAGTTCTACCTGGAGCTGGAGAAGTTCTATAAAGAAGACCACACCTTCTACAGGATCATTGTTGATGATTTTAATGCCAAGATAGGACTGAGAAGATCAGCCGAAGAGCTCCACATCAGGACCCATAGCCTAGAATGGAACAAACAGGGTGAGAGGCTATCTGAGTTCATCATGTCGACCAGGACCATGCATGGTAACTCACAGTTCCAGAAGGCCGAATCTAAACGTTGGACATGGGGGTCTCCCAGTGGACGGTTCCACAATGAAATTGACCACATCATATTTAACCGATAGTTTTGCCTGACCAATGTCGCTGTTGTCCCAAAATTCCAAACGGGATGGGACCACCATCTCCTTCGTGCAAAGTTCTACTTCACGGACCCGGGAGAAAGGGCTGCAAAATTTAAGAAGAGAACTCCCAGAACGACCACCAACTGGGAGCTCTTTGGCGCTATTGCAGCAACATGGGAAGATGCCGTCATTGACAACATTGACGAAGAATACAATCGACTGGTTCAGCACCTCCATGAGTGTGCAAGGAACGCTGAGAGAGATAGCCACAAAAAGACACCTGTCTTCGAAAACTCTTGAGCTCATTCGCCAATGTGACTTAGCACAACCCTCAGGCAACCACAAGCGAACATCCGGGCTCGCAAAGCAGTACAGAGAAGCAATAAAGGAAGACCTCAAAGAGAGAAGAGCAGCAGTACTGGCAGATGCGGCAGAAGCTGGGAAAAGCATTTGCAACATCCGCCTGTCCTTCACCAACTGTAAGACCAAGATGACTGCCCTCTGACGTCCTGATGGATCTATCACATCTTCCAGAAGACCAATGACTTCTACTCAGATCTCTTCGATAGCCACGTCCACTTTCCCACATACCAAATTCCTCAGGATGGATATGTCGTTTCCAACGTTCTCCATTCCAAAATCCAATGTCCAATGACATTTTGTCGGGTAAAAAAGCAAATAGCACCCGGCTCAGACAAGGTCAGATCTGAAAACCTAAGAAACCTGCCGTCAGTACTCATCAATACATTGGCTCGACTCTTCACACGCTACCTGTCTGAATGCAAGGTTCCATCCCAATGGAAAACCAGCAGGACTGTACTACTGTACAAGAAGGAAGACATCCATGACAATGGCAACTGTCGCCCAATCTACCTGTTATCTGTCATCTACAAGCTGTTCACTTGAGTCATCCTGAATAGGATTGGCAGAACACTAGATGAAGGACAACCATGCGAGCAAGCCAGTTTCCGAAAAGGATTCAGCACAATCAACCATATCCACATGATAACCAAGCTCATTGAGGTTTCTTGGGAGTTCAAGATGCTGCTCTGTCTAACGTTCATTGATTTAAAGAAGGCCTTTGATTCTGTTGAGATTGAAGTGGTCATCGAAGCCCTAGCCAAACAGGGCATTCAAACTCAATACATTAGGATCCTCTGTGAACTGTATTCCGGATTCACTACCAGGATCTCACCATTCTACAAGGAAGTGATCATCTATGTCAAGAGAGGGGTTTGGCAGGGTGATAACATTTTACCGAAACTCTTCAGTGCCATCCTCGAGAACGTCATGTGACGATTGGAATGGGAAGGAATGGGAGTGAAGATAGACGATCGGCAACTACACCACCTCTGCTTCGCTGATGACATCATTCTAATAACACCAAACATTAAGGCCCTCCCGTTGATCATCGATTTGCTCAAGCGGGCCCAGTAACATCTCCATTGGAGACTTTGTTGTTACTGTGTCTGGCATATCGAATACGTCATGGGGAGCTTGCCAGGCTCTGTCGTGCAGGCGAGATACTCTCGGTAGCTTGCCGGGCTCTCTGAGAGGGGCAGAGGAATCGAACTCAGGTCGGCCATGTTGGCTGCGTGCAAGGCAAACACCCTACCGCCGTGCTATCGCTCCAGCCCTAAACATTAGTCAAGTGGCACAAATGCTGGTCGACTTCAGTGGTGTGTATGGAAAGGTTGGACTACAGCTGAATCTCATGAAGACAATGTTTATGAGACACGGTCTCATTCCTGACGTTCCATCTGCTCTCAACAGAACGTACATCTCCGAATACAACAGTTATGTGTACCTAGGTTGAGAAGTCAACATGACGAATGACCTGGCACCTGAGTTACATAGGAGGAAGAGAGCAGCTTGGAACATCTTCAAGAGTGTTGAAGAAATAGCTAAGAAGAAAAAGAACCTCTGACTCTGGGCACATCTCTTCAATTCCACTATTCTTCCTTCATTAACATATGCCTCAGAGACCTGGGCACTACATAAACAGGATGAGAACGCTATTCGGATCTCCCAGTGGGGAATCGGAAGAGCTATCTTTGAGTATATTCACTCAAGTGAGAGAATGAATCCGGAGTTCTGACCTCCGTCAACGGTTAAGAATCAGGGACGCTGTCTTGTTTGCCAGGGCATCAAAAATCAGATGGGCTGGACACATAATGAGATTTGGAGATGACCACTGGACTAGAGCCATTACTGACTGGATTCAATGAGATGTCAAAAGATCGCATGGCCGCCCACCTACAAGATGGTCAGACTTCTTCATCAAGACCCTGAATGGTCACTTTGAGGTTCTTCATGTTTCCTGAACAAGCAGATGCCATTGGGCTACACTAGAATGTGACAAGGACAAATGGAGACTTTACTGGCACCCGCTCGAGCAAATTGACGAGTAACATTATGTCAAGTGATCAAGTGGT